TCAAAAAATAATTTTATTTTAGGATTTGATTATTTAAATATTAGATATTTTAATGTTTTTCTTTATTGAGATATAATACATGGAGAAAATAAATTAGAAGTTATAAGTTCTAAAGGAAAATCATCGCTCCAATTCACATGAACATACTCTAAGCAAGACATATTCGCTCAAAACATCCAATAGCCCACTTAAAGTGAGCTAAGTTAGAGACTACATATGGGAAATCAAGATAGCTTGCTTAAAGCTAGTATAATACTCGCTCTAAGCGAGTAAAATTCGCTCAAAGAAAGCATATCCACATCTTAGAGTGAACCAAGTTAGAGAGGAATCCCCTAAAGATGGCATTAGCTCACTTAAAGAGAATAGGTTATTTGTTTTGAATGAGTGAAATTTGCTCAGAGCGATCACATAAGAGCTTCAAGCGAGTGAAGTAAGAGAACACCCTTGGAAAAGCAAGCATACATAACCTTAAAGTCCATTAAAAATATTATAAAATGGGTCTCTAGAAGGTCTTTATATCATACTTTTTTACAAGTATAATTTTAGAGAGATTAGAGAGAATTCTTGTGAAGTCATTCTTATAAGCATAGATCACTCAAGGTCTTTCTTCTTTTGTGAAATCCTTAGTCATGAGTGGCTAAGTCTCTATTGTGAGAGACTGATGTAGTTGTTGTACTCATGTAATCTTTCATGTTCTCATTCAATACATTGTTTTTATATTCAGTTAATCATTTTTACTTTACACTTAATGTTTATTTTAACCAATACATGACTTTATAATTTTAAATGAGGTTGGAAAGCTCTTAGAATTACAATTTAGGTAAAACTCTAATAACACTTATTCTTAGGAATAGGGGTAAGTCTTATCTATCAATTCATAGGTCCCTGACCTTAACATAGGTTGCTTAAAAAAATACCAAGAAATTGGAATTTTTTTTAAACAACCTAGAGTTTGTTGCCTAAGAAATTAAGGTTTAAATATATTTGGGGCTATCAAATTAACGATATAATTTCTAATATTGAATGAAAATTGGATACAATTTACAAGGAAAAGGTTGGTAAAATTAATCTATGATTGTGCTTATTATTATCTAAATTCAGATTCTTCATTTTTTTTAATGTTTATCATTCTATAAATTTTAATACTCCATGTTAAACAATTTCAAATTTTTTTAATCTATTTGTTTAGAACTAAAATTAAATTAAACAATTATAACTCAAATTTCATGAATTTGATAACTTAAACTTCTGTCCAATTTATTACCTACAATAATTAATATACTTGTCAAATGTGTATCAAATAAATATCTCTCTAAGCAAAAGAATAATATATATATATATATATATATATATAATTACAAAATTATTTAATTTAAATTAATATGTCACCCACAAGAATAACATATAATAATAAAGCAACCACTTCACTACATTGCTTGACCAATCATTTTTATCAAAAAAATATTTGTCATAAATATAATTTTTCATTGATCTTTAAATTATTAAATGAATTAATCTCTTCTTTTTTTTTAATCATATATATAAATAAAATAAAACCAAGACAACAAAATAAAAAACTAAAACTAACAGTTACATTCTTTAGAATCTATTTAGTTCAAAAGAGAGCAAGAATAAAAGAATTTAAATGGAAGAAATGAGAGGAAAAGAGAGAACAAACGTTAGAAATTTTGTTTAGTTAAAAAAGAAAAAAAAATATGGATTTTAATAGAAAAAGAAGAGATGATTATTTTTTTATATTTAGTTCACAAAAGGAAGAAAGATTTTAGAAACTAATTTATCTTTGATTTATATTCAATTCATAACTTGACCGTAAAAATGTGCTTGAGGTGATATTGGTGTCCAGGAGAATCTTAAGGAAAAGTTTACGACTTTTGTTAAAATATTGTAAGCTTAAGTAACTTAAAATCCTACATCAAATTGGATATGAAGTTGATAATGTTATTTCTCATTGGATCATCTAAAAGAAAAAATAATTGAAGGAAAGGGGAGACATGATTTTTTAGTATATGAAAATAACAAATAAATATAATTAAGGTATGTTTTTGAGTTTTGTTTCATCACTTATGACGATGATCTTATCTTTTCTCATTGATAGACCGAAAATCTTATATTTTCTTTAGGATTTTTAATTACTGGGATTTATTTAAAAATTATTCTATATTTCTAATTTTCTTGTAAATAAGAAGTCGAATATATACACATTACATTATAAAGAAATCCGTGTTTAAGTAACTATATGTTGGTTTCAATTTCTATTAGACATTTTCACCCCTCTTGCACATTTTAAAATTTTTTTAACTAATATTTTTTTGTTTGTTTATAATTATATTCTCTTAAAACTCTTTAATAATAAATATAGAAGTACGAAGTATTTTTTTTCTACTAATTATCGATAAAGATATAAAAGTTGAATCTAAATAAAATTAAGTTCCTTTTCTCCATCTTGTTTTCTTTTCCTCTTTTGATGTTTGCATACAAAATCTCCATGGAAGACTTTGTAGGAATATCATGACTTCTAGAGATGATGTATTGAATTAGGGTTTCGACACACAATTTTAACATGGAAAGTCTTGTAGATTTTAATGGATTTTAAAAAGTTTTGTAAGAATATCATAACTTTTAGCATTTTTTTTAAAAGACTTTTAAAATTTGAATTTTAGTTGAGACTTTATAATTCATATTCTATTAGATTTTGATGGATTTATATTATAAGATTTTAAAGAATTTTATAAATTTCACATGAAAAGATGGATTTATAATATTACAAGATCTAATAAAAAAATATAACATAAATAATAAACAAAAGTAAAATCAACATAATTTTTCTATCCTTTGACAAATCATTTCTCTATTTTTTAAGAAATAATTGACTTGAATGTCCTCCTAACTAACATTTCTTCATATATCTAAAGTTATACTAGTTCTCAATGCATTAATATATTCTCTTTCATGCACTTGAGTCTAAATAATATGTTTAAAATTATGGTCTTCATTATTGGTAGTATTGAAGATAAAGATCCGTCCACTAATTCAATTAGAAATTCATTAAAATGACATTTTTGGTGAAAAAAGTTATGCACTAATACAAATTCAACTTGTGTCTTAAATAGAAATAGAGGTTTTGACTTAAGAATTATGAATCGTGATTTAAAAGTAATAAATATTTTTTCAATCACATTTCTTAAAAATGCATGGTATAAATTAAAATTTTCATTTTCATTTTGAGGTAAATTCTTTTTAATATATGTTTCAAAAATTTATATTTTAATATTAAATTTTATTAAAATAAACAGTTAAATTTTAATAATTTAAAAATTTTAACAATAACTAATATTTAATAATAAAAAATATTTTAAATATTTAATAATTAAAAAATATTGATAAATTATACAACAATTGGTAAATAAAAAAAGATAGGAGAAGAAGAGATAAATGAGAGAGATGAATAAAAAAAGATAAAGAAAAATAGATATAGATAAAAAAGAAAGAGAAGCAAGAAAGACAAGAAAAAAGGAGAGAGAAAAAAGAATATTATACAAAGAAGAGGAAGAGGAGGAGATAAATGAAAGAGATCAATAAAAAGAAAATGAGAGAAGTAAGAAAGACGAGAGAAAATATTTAAGAGAAAAAAAAGAGTAAAAATAAAAGGAAAAAAAATCATGTTAAATTTTAAAAGTTTTGGTGAGATTGTTTGATAAGTGAATTACTGTAAATTATACTAAAAAGTCTCACAAAATTTAGTCTTCAAAATAATTCATCGAAATCTCTAGAATTTTGAATCCCAACATATTTTTTAAATAAAAGTAAGTCTTAATTGAATACCATCAAATTTTAATGAGCTTTTAAAAAAATTTGATCATCTTAATTGAATACTACTAAATATTGATGAAATCTGGAAAAAAAATCTTAATTATCTTAATTAAATATAATATGAATTTTTTATATTAAAAAAATCTTAATTAAATACTATAAAAAAAATTATAATAAAAAAAAAATCTTTACATTAATACATATAAATCTTGAGGTTTGGTTTTAATAGGTTTCTTGAATCTTGATTTGATTTTTTTTCTTTCTATTAATCTCTTTCCTCCTTAAATCTGGATTGTGAATTCTTTTTGGGTTGGTGCATTATCATTCGATGAAGTCACATTCTTGATTGTTACGTTAAATGCATATTTTGGTACAATCTAACCAGGTTAATAAAGTTATGACGCGTAATCGTTGGTTTGATTAAAAAAAAATCGATTTAAAAATTAGTTTGGTGAGTTACGAGGTGCATGACTGTATAACCTAAATTAATCATATTCCAAATTCCAAATGCTTAATTTATCAAGTATATTTTATTATACATGCATTATCTATTTAAACAACATTTTAAAAGAGATAAGCTTAATGCAATTAAGATATTAAAGAAATCTAATTTCGAATCAAACCAGTAGATTTTTATGTAAATATCATAATAATAATAAATAAAAACACTTATGATTAATTTTAAGGTCAAACTTAGTAAATTGACCACTTTTATTGAATTGATTTCCGTGTTCTAAATTGCAATCTATTTTCATTTTCGACCCCTCTTCCCCGATCTTCATTTTTCTTGTAATTTCCAAATGTTACTAACTGGTTTAAAAACAAAAACTTGAGATCTTTGAAAGACAATCAAGTTGTTTGCCTTATACTACAACCTTTTTTTTCCCGTTATTTTGTCCTCAATCACAAGGATAGAATCACTCGGCGTATATAATGAGAACTAAATTTTATTTAAATAAATTTGCTGATTAACAATTGCTTAATTTGGTTTAGAAACAAAATTAAAAAAATTATTGAAAAATAATCATAAACGTAAAGTTTTCAACTTCATAAACATAACTTTCTTAAAATAAAAAAAAACTTGTTTATAAACTTAAACTGAAATGAAAGATTATAATCTCTCTTAAACACACTATTAATCTGGATCCATTGCTACTAAAACCCTGCAGTTATCAAAATGAAACAAAATATATTTAACAGATATTAAAATATCTCACAGGCAGTCATAGTCTGAACTCTGAAACATACAAATCGCGTGCGCTTGACACAAATAATAAGCATGAGGAGAGCAACAAACAATGTACATATAGAAATAGAATAGAAGCCTCACTCACTTTTACATATGTATGTTCCTAGCAGTCACAACCAGAAAAGGGAGGCAAAGAATACAAAGAAAGGGTCAACAAATATAAAAATAAAAGCATATAAAACGGAGCAGCTATGCTTCAAAGAGAATTAACAAATGAAATCATTGTAGAAGCTTGTCAGCACACTTCCCACGTCAATTCACCTCAGCCATTTTCTCTCTGGAAGAAGCAGAAATCAACTGGTAAGAAATACAACAAATAAAGCACAACTTTTTTTTCTTCTTTTTTATATAACAATTTAAGGATCAATTAAAAACAACTCCTGCTTTCTCTGTTTCCCATACAAATGAAAACATGAAACAATTTACTATAAGGAGGTGAGACGAAGAAAGTCAAGAGATCAAACAAAAACAATTATACATCACAAATATCTTAATGGGTAGAGCAGCATTTACAAATTGACAGATTCTGGCCTAAGAAGAAATTTAAAATCGAGTTGGAAAATATTACCGCTCAAAGAACACAACTTGCGCATAAAATATCTATCACGAAACGTTTTGCCCCTCCCCTTCCAAAAACCACAATGATCAGAAACACAAATTTAAGTAATATAATCATTAACTTTTTTTGGCAAACCAAATCCCAGGCAAAAAGCACACAGCCCTGATTGATCAAAGTTTATCACAACAAAAAAAAAAAAAAAAACACTTTCCATTACTGACATGATAAACAGCCACAAAATAATGAAATAGACAACCAAGACAAGGGCTTATTATTAATTAGTTAAATTTACTAGCAACAACCCTTACACACACGAGAACTAAATTGATACAAAACACTACTCAACAAAGACAAAATTGATGCTCCTTTCAGAACATGGCTCACAACAGATTAATGTCAGAAAAAGAAAAAGAAAAAAAAGGCACTCCAGCCCCACCACGAACAATACTTCGAAATCCTAGTAAATAAGGTCCCTTATAGTTTAGAAATTACCTTGAGGAGGATGTACATTATTTCCTTTTGCACTCTGCTGTGCCTTGGATGTTGATCGTTGGATGCGTGGAGAACCTTGCCTACCGGTGGCACCAGGTAAGGAATGTCTCTTCTTAACTTCAATGTCTCGTTCATGCACATCTGGACTTGATCTTGGAGAGTTATTTGCATTAATCTTGGCCCTAGCAGATTCTGTGGCTTGCATGAAATGGGGAATTGAATTATTGCCAGTACTATTATCTCTAGGCTCTTGATCAATGTTATCAGGCTTTACTGAGCCAAAGGAATTGCGCCTCTTTCCATTCTGCTGATCTTTAGGCAGTTGCTCTCTACTGCCCCTTGAACCTGAATCGTGATTTGGTGTTGTAGGTGATTTGTTACTCAATGATAGGCTCCGACGTTTATTGCCAGATCTGGTCTTGTTGGTTTTGCTCTCTTTAGGTTTCACAGACACTTGACTAGAAGGTGTTCCTTGTGATTCAGGGACAGTTAAATGGCTTCTAGGTGAAGCTTCTGGAGATGATCTTAAATCTTGCAGAACAGCCTTTGCCTGCTCTCTTTGCAGGTCAGATGCATTTTTCTCTGTCTTAATAGCAGGCTCTTCAGAGTCCACAGCTACCACCGATTGACCCAAATTGCCATTAATGTCATTAACAATCTCCGACTGATCCAAAACAGAAGTAGATAGGTTAGAAGCTGGGATAGCACTTGAAACATTGGCTTCATCATCACGGTTTATAGTGTTCTCAAGATTACCAATCCCTTCCACTAAATCTTTGGCATCTCGCTCATTTTCCATAGCACCCGGCTCTGATATGTCAGGTGAATCAAGAGTGGAAGAAATAGAGAGTTCAGTGCCACATTCAGAACCAGCAAACCTAGAAAGATAAGAAGCAGGATTTTCAAATGCAAACTCTTTTGATCTATAGGCAGTATCGGTGCCAACAGAAGCGGTGTCTCCTTGTGATTCAACCGCTGAATCTTGGTAGGACAAACTGTTTGTCCTACCTGAATTTGCTATTGAACTGAGCTCTTCAAATTTTGACTGTGCAGCAATAAATGCAGGATTACTGACCTTTCTTGATCCATTTACAGCTTTCTTTCCTTCAGCCTCTAGTGGGTCTGAGGCAAATCGTTTCATGGATCGTTTGCTCTGCTGCTGCTCACTATTATCAATTTCAGGCTTCTGATGAAAAGAATTAAGCTCTGGTGGTGGGGCAATTTCAGGCCCCTTGTGAAGAGAATTATGCTCTGATAATGGAGCAATTTCAGGTCCCTCGTGAAGAGAACTATGCTCTACTGGTGGGGAAATTTCAGGCTCCACGGGAAGAGAATTATGCTCTGATGGTGGGGCAATTTCAGGCCCTTTGTGATGAAAAGAATTAAGCTCTGGTGAGGCACTTGCATCTGATGTTAATTTTTCATTCTGGAAGGAATCAGCATCAGTCGGGGCAACTTTAGCTTCACATGCAATTTTTTCTTCAGCTTTAACTTCATATGCAATTTTATCTTCAGGAGGAATCTGTTCCAAGTCATCTTTTACAATAGATGACGAGAAGCAGCTCGCTTGAAACTCAAAGTTATTAGCATCATAAGTAATCACCTTTTCTTCATCATCAGATGGCAGAAGTGAATCTCCATCAGTGGGTTTTGAGTCAGCTGATTGGAGAAAAGGTTCAGATGGAATACCTGTTTCAAATTGAAACACAGATGCAGTATCTTTGCTTTCACTTGATTGCTCTGTCAAAGAACTAGTTTCTTTGCACTCTGCAATATCTTTTGATGATACTGACATCCATCTTTCCAACCATTTCCAAGCAGAATCGGCTTTAGAAGGATCACACTTGACATGGATCGCTTTGCTCTTTGGTGTTGATTCCAACAGCTTTAATGTATAAAAGAGATGGAAGGGGATTTAGTGAGAAATAAAGAAATAAATAAATATAGGAATTACAAAGTGGGCAACAAAAGAATTCCATATTCACCATTACCTGACAAGCAAACTTATTGCTAAGCAGCTTCTCAATGGAAGTGTAATTCACATTTGATTTGGTCACGTGATTTTCATTTCCCTAAACAAAGATAAAAATAAATGGTCACACTTAGAGCAAGCTTTCCAGCATATCAATTGATCATACTACACATCTTTCGATGCTCTTCTTAATTAAAATATATACTAAACCTCAATGTATTAAACAATGAAACAAAGATCCTATGTTCCGGTGGTGATATTGAATGCTCAATGTATTAAGGAGGAGGGAAAATTCTAAACATTAAATATTTCCCAAGCTCAGGCAAACTTAAACAAGTAACTACTGAGCAAGAACCATAAAATTTATTACAGAGAGTAACGCAGCCACTAATCAGTAATTTCAAATAACAATACCAAAGCTTTTGAGGAGTCCCTTTCACCATCCTTGTGATTTAAATGGTTTTCTAGACGTGACTGTCGAGCATGACGAGCTCGCACAAGGACCTGCATTTTTATAATGGCTTGAACACAACGCAGGGTTCCTACAGCATGCCTCCGAACCAGGTGCCCACGAACAGCAGCTTGCAACTTCACTACTTTCTTCAGCTGCAGTAGTTCTCTCTGAGCCTGAAAGAAACATGAATAAGACACAGAAAAAAGGCAGTTACAGTGGTTTCTTCTGGCAAGGTTCGGATTAGCAAACTTCTAAAAGGTAAACATACCAATAACCCTCTAATAGCAGCCTGGATGATGATGACATCAGACTCTGGTGGATTCACATTCACCTTCTCAGTTTCAATGACATTTGTTGCTGCTACTTGTGAGCTTTCAAATGAGGATAACTGGGGCTTCTCACCAGAGCAGTTTGTTGTGTAAATCTTGTCAACAACATTAGGTTCAGGAAGTGGTTGAAAATTAAAATTAGCACATTCTGAACTTTCCTTATTTGCAGAAGATGGGGCCTCTGCTATCACAGTATTGCTAAGCACACGATGCCTTGCAGATTTTTTGCGGAAACTCCAACCACGTTTATCATTAGATTCCTTGATCTGAAATAATATTTAAAAACAATGTGTGAAAAATAAACTTCATTTATGCACACTAGCAAGGATACATAACCTCAGTTCGTCTAGTTGCTAGACAGAAACTAGAAATGATGAGTATAAATATATTTGGACCAAACGTCCTCCACAAGACAATTTAATAGAATTTACTATATTCCAGCATGAATCACATGCAAGAACCCAGGAAGGGTTATTTCATTCCTAGCTTCATTATACACAAATGATACTTTCTATGTTCATTGCTAAAAGAGATTTTGTAAGATGATAATTACATTCCATTCCAGGCTTTGATTTCAGACAGTAAAATAGGAAATCCTACTTGCATGATAGGATTGCTGATTCTAGGTAAGCTAGAATAAGTGTGTGTGTGTAATATTTTTTTCTCTAATACATATTTATTCAAAAACTACACATCATTTTGAAACTGATTCCATATCTCAAACATATAGCTGAAATGGAATGTCATTTCAATCCTAACAGAATCATTTTGTTCATATCGCAGCCAATCATTAACTATTCTAATTATGCAAAGGTAGATTCTAGTAATCAAACATTTTTTTATATTATTCCTTTTAATTTGAGCTTTTAATTAAGTTTACCAAGGAATTTAGAAGTGAAAACAAAGGGAAATTACAAAGAATGTTCTTCCTCTACACAAGCTAGAATAAGTATATTTTTGTTTATTCCTCTGATTTATTCACATTTATTCAAAACAAGATTGATTCTGTGTCTCCAATGTAAGAATGAAATCCTAAAAGATCCATTCATTCATAATGCAGCAAACCACTAACTATTTTCCAATTTTGCAAAAAGAAAACCATGCTCGTAAAACATGCCTTTATACTATTCTCTTCGAATCCAGCTCTTAGTGAAAACAAGGAGAAATCAAAGACAACTTTTCCACATGACACAGTGATATCATTAGTTATTATAGGCAACAGGAAACAGAAATTCCACGAACCAAATTTTAAAAAAAAATCATAAATGAATTATGTTTCAATGATGATACGATTAATGCTTCCAAGACTTGCATCATTATTCATAATGCCAATTGCTGAAGGCATTTTGATGAATCTTTCACTCACTCAATGAAATTCACTAGAAAGCAATTGGAAACTATTTGAATTTCCACGTGCAATGCGTACACTTTATCCGATGAAAACACAGTGGACCTAGAAGCGTAGATCTAAAAATCAAGTTGTTTGTAACTTGACATGAAAAGCTTAAAATATCATAAATAAATCCTAACGAAGTTCCAAGTCCCCAGATTTAAAAAATCAGTTAACGCCCACAATTTGGGGATCGTTCGTTCTCCTGCACTGGCAATGTAACGAGTTTCATGTAAAACAAATTTCCATATTCGGGAAAAACAAAGCTAAAAAGTAAACAAAATAATTATAAACAGGGAGCATGAACAGCTCCCCAACAATACATCCATCAGTAATCATGAAACTAAGGATCACGATAAGTACAAAAAAAAAAAAAAAAGTATACAGTAGTTTAATTTTAAAAACGGAACCATGATGAAAAAACCGCATGACAGTCATATTCCAAAGTATTTTAAGATATGGAAGGCGAAGACAGTGATTCAGGAATGCAGGAAGCATAATGGGCGTGAATTTAACGAGAAGAAGAGAAAGAAAGTGGGATGAGAGATGAGAGCAAAGATAGTAAGTGAGGAAAGTGAAGTGAATGTTACCTCGGAGACTTGGTGGTAATCATCGTTCTCGGCGGCATCACCACCGCAGGTGATTAGTTTGAAGCAGGAAGTAGATTTCCCCATCACTCCCTAAGAAACAAAAACAAGACCACCTTTGGCTTTGGGGTTGGTTACCGTATTGGAAAATGGAAATAGAAACCTTAAAATATACGGACCTCAACTCGCTCCTTAAATCTCATTTAATGTCTCTGCCTTCGAGTCCGCCTTCCGTTTGCAATTTGCATCCCATTCCCTTCTCATTCACGTACCAAAATAATTGGATAAAGCCGCTGTCACTTTTCTTTTTCTCATTCTCTCACTACCCTAACGCTTTTTTCTTCACCTATTAATTTTTAAAATTCATAAATTATCCAATAAATTTCTAAACACATTTTCATCATTTTTATATATAATGCATTCCAACTCCAGGGACCAAAATGAATATTTATTCTAAATTGCGCACCCTAAAGATACTAATTAAAGTTTAATGCAAGGAAAGAATGTAGTATTTCGTCATATGGTGAAAAAAAGTTGATATTTCAATTTAGTAAATATAATTTAATAATTTGAATTTGTTAGGACGTGTTTGAAGCTAGGTCAATGTCAATTTATTTACAAAATTACTTTTATGTTTATGCATTAAAATTCAGGCTAATTTATCTTACTTTTATGTTTATGCGTTTAAATTTAGAAAACTTGGATTAAATATTATTTAAATTAAATAGGTTTCCAAAAACACACACTTAATATAGGTGTGTTTAATGAAAAGACACGTAAGGCTGTTTTTGAAATTGAAGGTATATATGTAAAAATGAAATTTGAATTGTGACGGAGATGGTAACAATTTAATTTGAATTTTGGTTTTGAATTGATTTTTAATACTTCGGCTGTATTTGGACCATTATCATTTTGCAATATGATTAAGATTCAGTACTCTATGGTCCCCTTCCTTCTACTAAAATAATTCTTTTACTTTTATTATCATTAGTATTTTTTATTATTAATTTTATATAAGAAAGATTTTTAACGAAAGCCACCTGCTGAGTATTTTCATGTTTCACGTTAAGTGCGTGTTTGATTTCCATTTTGTAAATTAATTTTGTCTTCTCTTCACGTCGAACAGTAATTTTACGTAAAAGCTATTATTTGTTGCTTCCAATTAAACGTGATTTTTCACGTTTGAACTTCAATGCAAATAGGCACTAAAGCATCATTCTAGTTAAATTCTTGATTGCTACCGTATGGAGAATGTTTGGATAATTGGATTGTTATTTCTAAGATACTACTCGAATAGTCTGTTTTACATTTTAAGTTTTATTAATTGCGACCGTAAGTTTGAACTTAAATTAATAAAGAAGTTTTCTTTTTCTTCATAATGATATAATTGATATTTGATACGAACTATACATCTACTATTTTATTTAATGTCTGGCGGATAATTTTTAGTGAAATAATAAGGATATGCATTAATTTTATATATACTAATAAAAGAAAAGGTTTCGATTTTTTTTATTTCATACTAATATCTCAATGTTTGATCATAAATTAGTCTAATTTGACTAAAAGGTAAATAAAATTAGATTAATGATTATTTTTATTTAGGATCGAATTTAAATATTATTCAAATAATTTGACCTCTAATTTAGCACATTAATTATTTATATATAACTCTTTAATAAAAAAAATTCATCTAAATACACATATTAGTGAATATATAGAATTATATTTATTATATTCAATAATTGTTTTAAGAATTAAAATTATATATTAATAATTAGTTTAGTTTCAAATCAAAGAAGCCCAGAATAAGAATTTTAATGGAGGGAAGAAAGGGAAGGGAGGACTTAAAAATTTTGTTTAGTTGAAATTGACTATTTTCTTGTTTGATTCATAAGAAGATAGAAGAGATTTTAAAAATTTATTTATTTTTATATTTTTATAATTTTTAATTTAATAACAAAGTAAAGATATTTTGGATATTATACTAGAAATATTTTAAACTCCCCTCTTTTAACATCCTATATTTGAGGAAGGTTTAAATTGGATTTGGATAATTTTTACTCTCCTCAATCTTCCCTTTCCTTTCTTCTCCTTTGAAAAATTGAATCAAACAATATTTTTTTTTAAAAAAAAATCCTTCCCCTCCCCTACATTTTACTCCAACCAAATATTATGTAAAAGATTTTTGAAACTTTTAATAACTCCCATTTAATAATTTTTATTTTATTTAAAAAATAAAATTTGTTAAAATAATATGTACGTGCAAGTATAGACTTACTAGTAACCATTCATATTTATTAAATATAAAAATTAAAAATTATAATTTTAAAACATATATTAATATTTGAAGAGTCGATTTTTTATTCCTAGAGTTTAAGTGTATATTTGATATAATTTATTTTATTATCATATCTTCTTATTTTTGTCAATTTATTAAAAAAAATTAAATGATAAACAATTATTTCTCTTAAAATAAATGTTATATGACATACACCAAACATTTAAAGAATAAAACAAACACAATACCTTTTTAAAAAAATGAATTAAGAATGTTTAAATTTTGTTTACTTGTCTTTAAATTTAACTCCCGGAAAAAAATTAAAATTACTTATTTTTAAATATATTATAAAATAAATATTTTGTGTAGTTAATAAAATATAGTCTATGCAAATATTACGACGTATACTCACTCTTTACTTTATTACAAATTAATAACTTTATATATCACTAATTGACTTAATAGTAAGAGTTAAAATATATGGATGTACGGATACTTAAATTCAATCATCACGTTATTCATATAATTTTTGTTCCTAATAAAAAGCGAATAACTCTACCAAAATATCATTTCTTACTTCTTGATCTCTTTTATTTTTTGGGCATATAACTCTTCCACTTAAGATAATTTTTCTCAAATCAAATAAGATTATTAGAGACAGCAAAAAAAAAAAAATCTTTTAAATATTTAATGCAGCTATGTGTATCTAAGTTTCCCACTCGAGACCATTAACCTAGTTATGCTACAACTCTTGTAAAACTCTTATTTTAATCCCAACTTCCATTTATAAATAATAATAAAAATTAAACATGGTAAATAATTTGACAATAATATTTATTAAAATAGCACCATATCATTTTTATATATAAATTAGAATAAGTATTTTAAATGATGTTAGTTTTGTGTTACTTACATCAGCATATATCATCATTTCCTTCTAAAAATTCACAAGCCCGAAGGTAGAGTTAAAAATCAATATAGTTTATATATATATATATATAT